TTCTGTGTAGCACCACGAGCTGGCTTACCAGGGAAGATCTTAACCTGCATCTGTCTGGAGTGGGAGAATCATGGCAACTGCTTGACTCGGCTTTCTTTCTCCCAGCATTCTGCTCTGTTTTCTCCGCCTACCTAATTTTCTGTCCTATCAAAGGCCAAGCAGTTTTCTTTATTAATTAACCAATGAAACAACAGATAGAAAGATGACCCTCCTCCATCACACACAGAGTTGTTGGATGTTGCTGTGTCCTTGCGTGGCTCTATGGAATTGGAATGACTGGGGCAGTGAGGAAATGAAGAAACAACAGATAGAAGGACATGAAAAAAGGCTCTCTGGTGGAGAAAACGTAGCACCCGGGAAGCTCGGCACGTTTATTATATATAGTTGAACAGAGAGGTGGGATTCTTGCATACAGCTGAACCAGGGGCTAGCATTATTGCATGCACATACACAAGGGGGCAGGGTGGTTATGTACAGTTGAACAAGGAGGCAGGGTTAGCTATTCTTGGTAGGAGCAGTCACTGTAGGGAAGCAGTCTTCAGGCTGGAACATTTGGTGCTGGGGGAATACGATGGACCTTTCTATACACACTGTTAACATTCCCACTTGGAACAGGTATGCCATCCCCATGAGCCTCACCTGGGGAAAGTCTTCCACTCCCATTTTGCATGGGTCCTGGACACAGCTGTGCCCATGTACTGTGGACTTCACACACAGGTTTCCTCCACTCCCCGCTGGGTGTAGGTTTCACTTTCCCCTTTACCTCTCAAGAAAGAGGCCCCAGTTGGGTGTTTTTCCCAGTTATTACTGGCTATGTGGGAGGAGCATGTATTGGCTCTCCAGGGTGGGTGCTTCTCGGGGTCCTGGGACTTCCAGGTAGTTTCTGGGGTGTTCATAGGTCTTCCTGCACCGCAGGTTGTTAAATCAGCCTCCCTGACATGACAGGAACCCAGCTGTTTTCCATTCCACTGCTTTCCTTTTGGAGTCTCTCCTCTTGCTTGGGCAGTTTCCAAATCCATCATTTTTCTCCTCACCTCTTCCAAGGGTGCTGATTGATCCATTTAAAACCTTGTTTCAGGGCAGTGAGATCGTTCAAGAGCTGAGGACACCCACCACCAAACCTGATGACCTGAGTTTGATTCAAGAACCACCCTCCCATGGAGTGTGCACGCATGCCACATAAACATACAAATGTAATTAGAAGCATTATTTCTTTACGTTTCCATGTGGCTTGACTGCTCGTGTCTCCATTTTATTCTTCCCATATTCCCGTCACTGCTGGAATTACCCACTTGATTTTGTTTGTCTCGCATTCTCATAAAAGTCACTATGAATCAACATTCTAATTATGGTTGTAATAGTCTTATCTCCTCATAGCTTCAGCATCTGTCCATCATTGAGCCTGGTTAGAACCACGTTGTTTCATTAGGCTGTGTTTTTCTTCTCCTTTTGTGCCCTATGTTTTTTTTTTTTTTGAAGTACAGACACAGTATGTATAAATATTTTTCAGCAACACCAAGGTCAGATTTTTGTTTTCTGTTTCATTTATTTCTATTTTGTTTTTAGTCATTTTATTATTGCCGTTTAATTTTATCTTCCTTTACTAACTTCTATGTTTTATGTGTACATAACCTCTCAACTACCTGGGAGACTGAGGCAAGGGAACTGAAAGACCAAGGCCAGCTTGGTTTGCAGGGTGAGTTCAAGGCTACCCTGGACAACTTAATGAGAATCTGTCTCAAAAGTTGAAAGAGAGCTGTATGGGGTCTCCCTTTTCCTAGTGATCTGTTGGCCATCAGACTACGAGGATGAGGGGAACAGAAGCAATAAGCAGGGCTTTGTACGGCTGTGAGTTTGATGAAAATAGCCTTCCGGGAGTCAGCTGCAGAGAGACAGATCAACTTGATTCCAGAGTGAGGGATACAGAAGACGGGACAGCAGCTGGGACAACACCTAAGAGGTGCTCGTGCTATGTTCTGTTTGCAGTTAGCAGCACAGCCCCATCATATAGACGGGAGCAGAACCTCTAATTACCATATAGGGGGCAGCGGGAGAGCATTTGCAGGGAACTGTGTTAAAGGTTACATTTAAGATAAGTCAGGCATCCAAGCTCAGGGAATAGACTCCAAATAAGGTCAGGCAGAGAGTAGGAAGCCCTGCTGGGGGAAGGGAGTCTTCCATTTTACACTAAGCTCAGAGAGCTGTTTGGACAAGGTGGGCTGCAACTTTAGGCATCAGGGTCTTCCAACAGGCTGGGCCTGTGACTCAGTGGTGGGGTGCTTGTCTAGCCTGTTAGAGGTTCGGGTTTAATATCTAGCGCCACCCCCGAATTAATTAATAAAAAATGTTTTTACACTGATTTACTGTGTGTGTGCCACAGTGCGTGTGTGACAGAGGACAGCTTGGGAGAGTCAGTCTCTCCTGCCGCCATGTGAGTCCCTAGGATTGAGCTCAGGTCATTGGACTTGGTGTAAGCAGTTCACCTGCTGAGCCATCTTGCAAACGCCCGTAAATAAAGATTTCTAACTTAAACAATTGTCTGTTGGCTCCTCCTGTAAGAGCTCTGTTGTTACTATTGGCTGTCAGTTTCATTGGATTGAGGGCATCTAAGAGCGTGGTAAGGCACTTATGTGGCTACGATTAGTCTTAGCACAGAGGATTGGATCATAAGGGCTGTTACAGAGATAATGGCTCAATCCATCTACTGGTGGACTCAGTATTTCAACCAATTTTGGAGTGTTATGGATTATAGAAGGTGGGGTCCTGGCTGAAGGAGGTGAGCTTCCAGGGGTGTCTTTGGAGGTCTGTTTTGGCCCTGCCCCTCCCTGTCAGCTCCTCTTTGTTTCCTGGCTACCAAGAGGTGTACAGCTTCCTCTTCCAGGCCCTTCTTCTAGGATGTTCTACCTTGCCATGAACCAATGCTCAGTGGAGTCAGTCAGGTGAGAACTTTAAACTGGCCAACAGTGACCCGAAATTAGCCCTTTATTTAGACCCCGAAGTTATCCCCCTCAAGCGTATGTCACACCCACAAGAATATGAGTAACGCGGTTTCTCCTCTCCTGAGATATTACCTCAGATCTGTGCTTCATTCTCACGTGTCCAGCTGCCCTTTGACTTGCTCTTGTTTTGTTCTCATTCCAGGTCTCCTCTAAATCCCTGTCTGATTGCATTCATGGCTTCTTGTCTGATGCTTGTCTTCTACCAGAAAATTACTTCAGGATAATATTTGTTTTATTCGCTGATTTTTTTTTTCCAAATAGCTTATAATAATGCCTGGCACAGAGACGTTGTTATGTTTGGTGGGGCAGGTGAGGACGGACCACAATATACAACCAACCCATGCATGTGGGAGTTTACTGGTGGGGGAGATGGCTAAAGAGAAAGTCGTGCTGGTTGACCGAGAAAGAGAAGTGAGGTAGAAGAGAGCGAGGGATGGGTGGAGCTTGTTTTTAAAGGGGCCTTGACGCATGTGTACAGAACCTTCGAGCAGACACACAGCGGCCTTAGATCACAGATCCTATATGTGGCACATAACGTAGAGCGTAGGGCCTTAGAACACAGATCCTATGGCTTTCTCTCGTACTTTGAAAACTCAGACAACACCCCCTGGCAGTCTCTCGCTCCCTGGACCCAGAGCTGATATATAACCTGCTGTGATATTCCAGTGCTCACTGGATTGAGTAATTCCTTCTCCTCTTCCACCTGCCCGACCAGCACCCAGAGATAGCCAAGACAACCTTGAATTATAACTTACCTTTATCTAACGCCTTCCTGCCTTGTCTTGTGACTCCAGGCACACAAGTTCTGTCATGTGATATGGACCAACACCTACTTCCCCAAATCTTTAAGAATAAGGAATTCTTGCCATCGGGAACTGAGGGGTCTGCTTTGCCCATCAGAGCCCCATCATGGCTACTTGTGGCCTGATTCTAATAACTCTTGTAACAAGTCCTTTTCTGTCCTGCCAGCCAGCTCCCAAATAATGACATGGAGATTCACTGTTAATTATGAAAGCTTGGCTTTTAGCTCAGGTTTGTTTTCAACTAGCTTTTATAAGTTAATTAACCCATTTTTTTTTATTAATCTACATTCTACCACGTGACTTTGACCTCTATCCCATTCTGTGTCTGACTCTTTCCACATCTGACTGGCATCTCTCAGGAGCCTAGATTCATCTCGAGTTTCCTCTCTCTGCCAGGAAGTCCCACCTATCTCTCCTCTTTATCAATCAAACCAATCAGAAGTCTCCTTAGGCAGAGCATGTCTTTACAGTGTAAACAAATACTTTACCACAAACTCACCCCTCCCCTTTTTGTTTATTTGAGGGAAAAGAAGAATTTTAAAGACTTATTATTTGTATGAACATGAAATGCATGCACTGCCCGGAAAGGCCAGAAGGGGGCGGTGGAACCCAGGCGCTGGAGTTACCGTACGTTGTGAACAACCTCATACAGGTAGTGGGAACTGGGCCCAGGTCCTCAGCAAGAGCAGCAGGGACTCTTAAACCGCTGAACAGCTTTCCAGCCCAACTATTTCTTATAATAAAGCTCTTCTAGAGAGTATTTCGTGCCATCCTTCTTTACATGAACCAGCAACATCTTTCATTATTTATCTAACAAGCAGGTGTTTGGCTCCTGGTGTTCACTACTTCTTCCACTGCATCTGTGCACCAGAGTTGAGCCAAACCCAGGACAAACCCAGGAACTTCAAATCCCAGAATCCCTGGGTCTCGAAGCGGACTACATTTCCCAGAGGCCTCCCGTCTTCGGAGCCGGAGCCCTGACCTCCCGTGAGCCTTCACGGGCCCTGGGGCGTCTCAGGCGCCCTTCGAGGTGGGGGGCCAAGGTACCTAGTCGGAGTCCGCGCGCGCGGCGGCTCTGAGCCTCCGTGAGGCGTGGCGGAGCCTCAGGGCGGGGAAGGTGAGCGAAGGCCAGTTCTGTTTGTACGCCAGACGGGCTGGGCAGGGTTCGGCTTGGCACGGCCTCCCGCTCTCCAGCGTCTAGGGCGCGTCCCCCTCCTCGGGCACCGGCCTCGGGCACGCGGAGAAACGCGCGCTCCCGGATGTCTCTATCCTGGACTGTAGTGACCTGCACCCCACGGCCTGGGCGGGGCTAACTCAGGCTATGTTTCCCTTGCTACCCTCCTGTCCTGGGCCATTAGTCCCCTTTCTGGAGTTTTTTCTGGGCAGCAGGCAATCGACCCCTTGACAGCAGCAGAACAGCTGTGTGGGCAACGCGTGGGGAGAAGGAACACGTCCTGGACCCGTGTCAGGTCTGAGCGGGTGCGACCGGATGCGTCCCCACTGTGGCTGCACTCCGGCCTCAATTTTCTGATCTAAAGGGGCCAGGCAGTGCCAGCTGAGCTGTGGCGAACAGTGTAGGATGATGCCTGGCACGTGGGGGTCAGTGAGTCCCCTCTGATGGAGTCTAGTGTCGCCTGAGTCTTGCTTCTGGAAGTCCCGGACCAGAAGAGTAGTGACCTGTCAATTCTCTGAAGCCCACCCCCAGCTCCTGCTTCTTTTCTCTGAGGGCAGGAGAGCCAGTCTCAGCCGATGGGAGCAAAGCAGCAGGTGCTACTTACCCTTCTTCTTTTTCTTCCCTCAGATTCGTCTTCATCTTCACCTACAGAGAGAGAGAGAACATGGCTCCTGAGCAAAGGGAAGCGGGGTCTCAGGTAAGCACACTGCCATTTGACTTCTTAGTGGAAGCAGGGGTTTGGTTTGGCTTTTCTTTTTTTCCTTCCTGACGCAAGTTCTCCACATAATTCAGCCTTCACTAGGATTTGGAGCCCTTGTCCTACTTAGAGGAGTTGATCCTCCCTCTGTGACTGGTGGATTCTGTAGCAAGCGCGCCCCATGTTCACAATTCTAGTCTTCTGTATTTCTTGATAGACACACTATGGTTGCCTGATCCCAGGATGGTGCATGCCTCAAAATCCCACAAGCAGCATATCAGGTGCCCTGGGACAGAATAAACATACATACTCGAGAAAATTCCTTTCTGCCTCCCACACTCATCCGTGTGAATTCTTTCCCTTACCAATCTTCATTATTCTCTTTTCCTGCCAGTCCGTATGTTGCTCCCTCAGGCTTCTCCAGCCCATGGTGGTTTGGTTGTCATGTGTATGCATGCATGATATGGTATGCATGTGTGCGTATTCTCATGTGTTTGAACGGGCATATATGTGTGTGAGAATGTATACATGGGTACATGCATGTAAAAGCCCAAGGCTACATCGGGTGACTTCCTTCATGGTCAGATCTTTTGAATCAGGGTATCTAACTTGAACTCGGAGCTCGTCAAGTTGGCTCTCCCTCACAGGTGTCAGTGACATTCGAGGATGTGGCCGTGCTCTTTACTCGGGATGAGTGGAAGAAGCTGGACCACTCTCAGAGAAGCCTGTACCGGGAGGTGATGCTGGAGAACTACAGCAACCTGGCCTCCCTGGGTAAGGGCGTTCCCTGTGGGCGTAGATTCAGAATGAGATCTAGCACCGCCTTCCCTGAATGAAAGCTGTGGCCACTGTGAAACCATAGCAGAGTTTTGCCTTAGGGTTGTACAAGGATACATAAGTATTAGCACAGCAGGCAGCAGAGGGGATGGCAGCGAGAACATCTCTTCCCTTGGTTCCTCACGGTCCAGGCATCTTCCCCAGCACAATCCTTCTGTGCTTGTGTGGTTCATCTCTAAGCAGAGAGCTTTGTTCTGTCTCCGGAACCTCTCTTTCCCATCTGTAGCCTTTCCGACAAGTCTGCATACTTTTTCTGCAAAGGGCCGTACGGGGTGAACATTTTAGGCTCACTTGATTTCTACAACATAAGAGATTTTCTCAGTCTTCTATGGTTGCCTGGCTTTTAGTTAATGAGTTAACTTTGTCTACAAGCAGGATTCCCGTTTACCAAACCAAAGGTGATCTCTCTGCTGCAGCAAGGAGAGGATCCCTGGAAGGTGGAGAAAGAAGGACCTGGAGGCTCCTCTCTGGGTGAGTGTGTGCAGACCCCAGTGTGGTGAAGGAGAGGGTGCAGCGTGGAGTGTGGGCTGGGAAGTGTCTTCAGGTTCTCCATCCGCAAGAAGTGATGGGGGCTGGGATGGAGCTGAGCTCAGTGGTAAGAACACCTGCCTGGCACAAATAAAGCTCTGGGTTTAATTCTTAGCACAAAAACCCCAACCCAGAACAAAACAAATGAAAAACAACCCAATAAATTATCAATGAATTAAACAAGAGTGAGGGAGGGCAAACGGGAGCTGAAATCTGCCCCGGCTCACTTTTATTCTTCCCTGGGATCTCTTCTCCTGTTGGTTCTTTCTGAGGAGGGTTGTGTTTTCAGAGATCATTTAAGAAATGTCTATATTTAAGGGATGGTAAAGAACTCACTCAGGCTGAAGCTCAAAGCCTGTAAAGGAGAAGGAAATGAGATGGGAAGGCTACGCAAGGGTCCCAAAACAAGTGCCTCGGTGCAGTTCTGGGAGCTGCATTCTGCATGTGGACAACTGGAAGTACTTAACTGTAAACAGCAATCGTATAATCTTTGCTAGTGTTGGGAACGCTGGTTCTAATCAGAAACAATTCAGAGGTCTTTGGTAACACAGCTAAAAACAATCAGACAAACAAAAATGTATGTCCTTGTTCTGGTATCCATCAAGACCTGTGATAGAGACGGTCCAGAGAGTGTCAAGGAGTGAGGCGACCTTCAGAGCACTGTCAAGGTGTGTTACCACTAGGTTGATAGAAAATTGTGTTCTTAAAAGAATGTGTGTGTGCTTGAGTGGGGGCTCTGCACACATGAGCAGGGTTAGGAGGCAGTGTGTTCTTTTGGAATGAACCTGCATATAATATAATCTTCACTAGCAGTTAATGTTTTACGTTTTTGCAAAGAGCTGCCATGTTCAGGAAGTCCTGTGACACGTACTGCGGAGGATGGACTGAAAGTGAGGCACAACCAGGGAGCCCAGGGGAGCTCCTGCAAGAATGAAGGTAGAAAGCTAGCGGGGCCTAGATGAAGGTCTCTGCTTCAGGAGTCTGGAGACCCAGTCTGATGAGTTTGGGGTGGCGGTGGTTTTCATTTAGATGTAGTGAAGTACTTAGATATAGATCTCTAGTAGAGAATTCTGTAAGGTTAGAACTCACAAGCAAGGTCAGAGCCCTTGAAGCCTTGAGCTGCTCAGATGGGAGTAGGATCCTGGGAAACTGTTTCCACAAGGTGGTTAAGAGAAACCTTGCCAGCCTGCCCTGAAGTGACCCTGAAAAGGGGGGGGGGGCAGGGGACGTGATTGCAGTGGTGATAGAGGCTTGGGCAAACTCCCTCACTGGTGAGCCAAGACTCACACCACGGGCTTTAAATGCTGAGCAAGCTCTGTGCTAGGTGTCGCCAAGTGGCAGTAGTGGGAGAAAGCAGGACCCTGCTCTCATGAAGCTGGGTGCCGTGAGGAGAATAAAGGACCAAGCACCCGTGGGCAGCCCTGCGGAAAAGTCCAGTGAGGACTAGAGCATGGCACAGAGCACCCTGAGAGTGCAGGGCCAGTGCTGTGTGTAGGGTGTGTGGGGCTGAGAGCAAGGACGGAAGAGGAATTGGGGCAGTTCTTAGCCCTTGGGTCAGTCAGTAGGCCTGGGTCTAGAAAAGACGACATGGCTGGCAGACCACCCTGTCCTCTCACAGCCTTGTATTATACAAGAGCATCTCTTCCTAGTCCAAAGTGACCACTTCTGGGATGGCAGCCACAGTTGTCTTTTACATCCTCACTTGTGCAGAAACTGCCAGAGGCCACCTCAAAGGAAGTAGATGGGATGCCTGAGGGGAGGGGGATTAGCCTGAGCAGAAGTAGGCCTGCGGTTCAGAGCTGCCTTGGGAGAGGCTGAGATGCCTGATGGAGTGGTCACCTGCCGTCTTCAGCTCTGGGCAGAGCTGAGTGGATGACTGAGGAGTGGACGCTGGAGCTGCTTTCTGCTCTGTTCTGAGGAGGCTTTGACTGTAGCCCAGGCTGCCATTGAACTCTAGATTTCTCCTACTTCAATCCCCTGAGCACTGGGATTGTAAGGATGCTGCTCTGTTCCTCTTGAGGATTGGTCATCCTTTTTTCTCTCAAAAGTGGACTTCAGGTAGGAGGCTTAGGGATGCTTCTGTGTCCATGATGTGCCTGGCAAACCACCACGTACCTGGCTCCCTCTCAGCAGCAGCTCACATCCCACAAGGGCAGTTGAGGACCAGCAAATCCGTATCTGAGGTCATGGTGTCAGACAGAACCCACTTCTGAACTTCCAAGTTATTTTTCCCTTCAAAACTAATCACAGATAAGAAAACAACAAAACAGGACTCAGTTCTTCAGAGCACTGGCTGCCCTTGCAGAGAATCTGAGTTCAGTTCCCAGAACCCACATGGTAATTCATAACCATTCATAATTGTAGTTCCAGGGCTTCTGATGCCCTCCTCTGACCTCGTTGTGCCCCAGCAACACATGCGGTACATGTGCAGGCCAAACATCCTTACCTATAAAAATGAATAATGAATTTTTTTAAAAAGCAGCAACAACAAAATGTACAAGTAAAACGGCTTTTGTTGCCCCTGGATTTGTAAGTTTTAAACTGAGAGGTGAGAGGCCATGGCTCAGGGTTTCTGTGTCTTATTTGGGTCTCTTGCTTAAGAATTGACCCAAAGCCTAAGCAATAAGGTGGTGCTTTTCCTGCATAGCTATACTAAGAACCATGGGTGCATTGCACAGGTTTGGGTCACATCCAAATACACGAACAGTCTGGAATTTTGACGTTTTTAAATTCCAGAAATGTTCTAATTATCATATCCCAGTGAGAGATCACTTCCACTGCCTTGTCATTTCCTTTGTTGTCTATAATGTCAGCTGCCACCAAGAGTGTGCTGAACTCTGAGCGGTAGTCAGCTGGCTGCTGTCCTATCACTGAAGTCTCTGGGGTTGTGTCTGTTCAGAGGAACAGTAGCTTTTCCTGATTTTACACAAGGTTGCAGCAGTCCTAAATCTCAAACTAGTGACTTTCACCCCGCTGAGCACAATCCAGAGTCTTCAACAAAATCTTCACTCTTATCTCCTTTTGTTCTGCCTCAAGGCTTTTGTACCTGACCTTTTCTGTCTGTGCCTTTTTTTTTTTTTCTCGATGGTCAAGTGCTCTTGTGGCAACTTCCTTGCCTTTCCCAGGGTTCTGCCCTGTTGTCCCTTTGTGGAACAGATGAGGCTCCACTCATCTAAGTCGGGGCTCCGTCCTCCATGTTCTTCATCTCAGCGTGCTTGTTTTCCTTCTACACACTCACTACATGTGCTTATGATCTGCCTCTTCCTCAACATCCATGTGGAGGCAGCTTGTTTCATCATGTCCATTTCTAGTGCTGGCCAGAGTAGGCTTCTAGTTACATAGAAAACACAGGAACAAGTCACGCTGTGTGAATAAAATGAAACACCCCTCCCTAAATATTGAAAGACAAATGAAGCAAGTGACTAATTATGTTTGATATTCGTGACTTAGAACATAGAGAATTTCCACAATTGTCTTTACATCAGAGCAGTGTGGTTTATTTGTGGTTTATATGTGAAGTACAAGACTACCTGCAAACAATAGTGTTGGGGGAGGTCATGAGTAATTTGGACACATTTATGGATGCAGTGATTTATGGCTGAGAAATGCTTTGGCCTTCACTTAGTGGAAGAGACATAAGGGTTCATAATGATGCTGGGGACACCGCATTAAATAAAACTCAGTAACTTAAAGCAATTAGAATTCATTGTCTCAATTCTGGAGGTTGAAAGGCCATGTTTGGCATGGCCCTGCTTCCTCTGAGACAGGGTAGAGACCTGTGTTTTCTCAGTTTGTAGTGATGGCCACAGTTCTGAGTAGATTGTAAAGAACAATCTAAGACTGAATTGAGAGCTAAGACCTTGGCACTTGGGAATTGAAATGGGTACAATAGACTTGATGTAGGCCCTTGTAGCTATGATTACTTCCATTATAAGCAAAATTCCCAGTCTCCTGTTCTTATTCTCCTTGGAGTCAGGCTTCACACATGCTTTCCATTTCTTCTTGTTTTTTCATCTTTCCTTATTTCCTTAGTCCTCCAGTTCTTTCTTGTGTACTGTGCTCATAAAAGAATGGTTCTTAAATCCCGTGCTACCTCCATCGACTGTAGTCAGAAGTTTCAGTCCTTGGGGATATGTGTGTGTTCCTGCTCATTTTGTATATCTGTACATGGGTGTCAGAAGGGAGCCTCAGATATTTCCTTCAGTCGCTCCCCATCTTCTTTTGAGACAATTTCTCACTGAACTTGAAACTTGCCAGTGTGGCTAGAGCAGCTGACGAGCAAGTCCAGGGATCCTCCTGTATCAGTAACTCCAGCACTGGAATTACAAATTCACTGTACTCAGCTTTTTTTTTTTTTTAATTGATTCTGGGGGATTGACTAAGGTCTTCATGCTTGTATAACAAACCTTTTCCAGCTGTCTAAGTTAAGGTTACTGTTGCTGTGATGGAACACAGTGGCCAAAGCAATGCGGGGTGGAAAGGGTTTATTTGGTTTATATGGCATCACAGTTCATATCAGAGGAAGTCAGGGCAGGAACTCAAGCAGGGTAGGAACCTGGAGGTGGGAGCTGATGCAGAGGCCACAGAGGAGTGCTACTCACTGGTTTGCTCCTCATGGCTAGCTCAGCCTGCTTTCTTATAGAACCCAGGGTGACCAGCAAGGATGGACCCTCCCCCATTAATCACTGATTAAGAAAATACCCTATAGGCTTTCCTACAGCCCATTCTTATGTAAGCATTTTCTTATTTTCTTTATTGAGATTCCATCTTCCCTGATGACTTTAGCTTATGTCAAGTTGCAATAACTATCAAGCACAGCAACCAAACCCCAAGCCCAGTCTTCAGGGTATTCTCCACAACTGATTTCTTACTCCTCTCTGGCTTCCAGAACACCATCCTCTCCCAGTTTTGTTCTTATATGTTCAAAGAATCTGGTGTTTCTTTCAGTTCTTTGACTTTCAATAGAATCTGTATGCCGACGACTCCTACATGCCTAGCTTCAGCTCTGACCTTTCCCCAGATCGCTAAATAATAGACAGCTATTTCAGTGCCTCCTTGTGTTTTCTTCTGAAGCCCCATAGCTGTCACAGACATGCCTGAAAAAGACTCCCTAGGACTTGGCATCCATCTTGGTAATTGGTGCCATAATTCATTTTCAGTCTGGAAACCTAGACATCTTAATTGTCCTCTTTCCTCCTTAGTATTATGTTAGTCCTTCATCTCAGTCCCAGCTACTTCATCCCTACAGATGTAGACAAAAGTTCCTTTCACCTAGGCAGTTTGGATGCTCACCTTACTAGACCTGGATGGAGGTGGGTGGTCCTTGGACTTCCCACAGGGCAGGGAACCCTGATTGCTCTTTGGGCTGACAAGGGAGGGGGACTTGGTTGGGGGAGGGAAAGGGGAGGCGGTGGTGGGGAAGAGACAGAAATCTTTAATAAATAAATAAATAAATAAGTTCCTTTCACTATGGGGACGAACCTGGACCTCATCTATGAATCACTAGCATTCTAGCAGATCTTTAGGAACCTATAGCACAGGAAGATATGGCCTTAGGCAGGATTACTTGTTTGCAGTGTGGTGACTGAGTTGTCAGAGGGCAAGACTCAAAGATAGGAAACTAGTTGGAAGACCATAGTAGAGGCAGTAATGCATAGGAAACAAAATGCCATCCCCCTGGTGCCTGTCTTAGTCCCTGCTCTATTGCTGTGAAGAGACACCATACCACGGCAGCTCTCATAAAGGAAAACATTTAGTTAGGGCTACTTTACAGTTTCAGAGGCTTAGGCTATTATTGTCACGGCAGGGAGCATGGCAGCACACAGTTAGTCTTGGTAGTAGAACAGTAGCTGAGAATTCTATGTCCTGATCCATAGACATGAGGAAGAGAGACAAATGCATGCATACATGGAGACAAACTGAGCCTAGCATGGGCTTTTGAAACCTCAAAGCCCACTCCTAGTGACACACTTCCTCCAAAAGACCACACCTCCTAATCCTCTCAAACAGTTCCACTCCCTGGTGACTAAACATTCAAATGTATGAGCCTATGGGGGCATTCTTACTCACACCACCCTGCTTTATCAGCGGGGAAGATACACTACAGTGCTGTAGTGCTGTGCTCAGAACTCTAGTAAACAAGGCTCAGAACTACAGCCTTTCTTCACAAGAAGGCCCGAGGCAGTGTGTTAGACTTTCCATTGCTCTGACAACTACTAGAGAGAAACCATTTTCATTTAAAAGGGGAATGAATTATTTTGTCTCACGACTTTAGAGATTTTAATCCATGACTACTTGGCTACCTTGCTTCTGAGCCTGTGGTGAGGCAGAGCATCATGTGGGTGATGCATGAACATGGCAGTCCAGTAGTTGGGGGAGAGTAGGGACAAGATATACAAAATAATCCCCTAGTGACCCATTCCTCCAACAAGGCCCCACTTCCTGACTTCCACCACCTTTCTGTAATCCCGCTGGGTTAGGAATCCACTGATGATCCAGTTACTACCCTAAGCCAGTCAACTAGTAGTGAGGCTTTTAATACATGAGTCTTTAGTTGACACTTCAGACTCAAACCATAACACTTCTCTTGCTTGATGCATGGATGAGGCTCCCTTTTCAACTTAACAGTTCTTGACCTTGTGGCTTCTCTATAGAATTAATTTAATGTCCTTTGTGTAAACTGATTCAGAAATCTCAATCATCTGTGTTCTGTTTGGGAAGACAGGTGCTATGAGGGCTTATGACTAATATATATGAAATTCATGTTTAATCAAGACTGTTTGACATTCTTCAAATTGTGTAGGTATAACTAAAAAAGACTTACTAAACAAGCCAAATGTGGTGGCACATGCCTATAATCTTAGCACAAGGAAGGCAGAGGCAAAAGGATTGCTACACATTTGAAGCTAGCCTAATTTACCAACGTGGGCTGTATAGTAAGACTCCATCTCAAAACAAAACAGACACACACATGCCGTCAAGAAGGTTGTGAGAGACAGAACATGCTGATCTCGTTGTTTTGTGTAGAGAGATACAGAAGTGGTCATGTAATGTCAGCACTCAAGAGACTAAAGCAAGGAGCCATGAGTTCAAGGACACCAGGGCTATAGATTGAGGTTATGTCTCGGGGATCTGGCTGGAGGGATAAACTGTGGATATTCTGAGTCAAGAAAGGATTCTCACAATAAACTTTTGAACAGAATCTGAAAGATATTGTTGGCAGGAAACAAAAGAAGGCACATTTAGCAGAGAACAATGTAGGTGACTATTATTTGCTCTCAGATTCTGACAGTGCATTTTCCAGTTCTTTGTCCCATTTAATCACCCTCTTGAAGTGTGTCTGCTTTATTCTTTTTCTTCACTCTACTACTGTTCCCATCAGTCATGTTTCTCTACTAACTCTTCTATTCCACCCTCAATATTATTAACCGCATGCCAAGACTACTTAAATAACATTAGTACCTATTCAATCTACATATCTTGTCTCAGTAGTCAAATTTTATATCACACACAAAAAAAATCTTTGGTTTCTTTTTCCCTTTCTAGAATTGAAGCACAGTCATAGAACCACCAAGTCAACTCAAACACAAGACTCTTCATTTCAGGAACTGATTCTGAAAACATCTAAAAGAAATGAAACTTTGAACTTGAAGTCAGAAAATCCTTTCATATATGAAGGGAAATTAGAGGAAAAGCAGGATAAGAATGCTTTGACTATAGAAAGAAGCCGAAAAAACAATGAATTTAGTCCAAAGTCACATGGAGAAAAAAAGTCACCAGAATGTGAAAAACAAGACACTTTCAAGCAGATAGCATCATGTATATCTAATCACCCAACAACCACATCAGATAAACGCTATAAATGTAGTATGTGTGAGAAAACTTTCATCAACACCTCATCTCTTCGTAAACATGAGAAAAACCACAGTGGAGAGAAATTATTTAAATGTAAAGAATGCTCAAAAGCCTTTAGCCAAAGTTCAGCCCTTATCCAACATCAAATAACTCATACTGGAGAGAAGCCTTATGTATGTAAAGAATGTGGCAAAGCCTTCACTCTCAGTACATCCCTTTATAAACACCTAAGAACCCACACTGTAGAGAAATCCTACAGGTGTAAGGAATGTGGTAAATCCTTTGGTCGAAGGTCAGGTCTTTTTATACACCAGAAAGTCCATGCTGGAGATAACCCTTTTAAATATAATCCAGGTAGGAAGTCATCTGGCGCATCCCTTCCTGGCCAGAGAATCCATTCCAGAAAGAAGACCTACTTGTGTAACGAGTGTGGCAACACCTTTAAGTCTAGCTCCTCCCTTCGCTATCACCAGAGAATCCACACCGGAGAGAAACCTTTCAAATGTAGCGAATGTGGCAGAGCCTTCAGTCAGAGCGCTTCACTTATTCAACATGAAAGAATTCACACTGGAGAAAGGCCCTACAGGTGTAATGAATGCGGAAAAGGCTTCACTTCTATCTCAAGACTCAACAGACACCGAATAATTCACACTGGGGAGAAGTTTTATAATTGTAATGAATGTGGCAAAGCCTTAAGTTCCCATTCTACTCTTATTATTCATGAGAGAATTCACACTGGAGAGAAACCATGTAAATGTAAAGTCTGTGGGAAAGCCTTCAGACAGAGTTCAGCTCTCATCCAGCATCAGAGAATGCACACTGGAGAGAGACCTTATAAATGTAATGAGTGTGGGAAGACATTCAGGTGCAATTCTTCCCTCAGTAACCATCAGCGAATTCATACCGGGGAGAAGCCGTACCGATGCCAGGAATGTGGGATGTCATTTGGTCAAAGTTCAGCTCTTATTCAGCACCGAAGGATTCATACTGGTGAGAAACCCTTTAAGTGTAACACATGTGGGAAAACCTTTAGGCAGAGCTCTTCGCGTATTGCACATCAGCGAATCCATACAGGAGAGAAACCCTATGAATGTAATACATGTGGGAAACTTTTCAACCATAGGTCATCCCTTACCAATCATTATAAAATTCATATGGATGAGGACTCTTAAAGTAAATTTGCATGTGTAAAAAGCCTTAAACCAAAGCTCTTCAGAGAATACGTGCTTGAGAGATATAATAAAAATAATGAATATGGGAGAAAATCTACAATCAACTAAATGCCGTGGTTAAATTTTGTGTAACAGGAGGAAAGTATTCAGACCTGTTCAACACTTTAAAAAAAATTGTTTGAGAGCCATGCATAGTGGTTCATACATGTGGTCGTAGCTACTGAGGACCCTGAAGCATGAGGATTGCTTGAGTCTATGAGTTTGAAGCAGCCTGAGGAAACCTAGGAAGATCCCATCTCAAAAAAAAAAAAAAAATGAGTCATCTGTGATGCAGACCCTGACTTCAGGCGTTTGTAAAATGGTGCTTTTCTCTCTGCGGCAGTGTGTGCTGGATGTGATTGTAATCACAGGCATCTAGTGAGCAGAAGGGTGTGCTGCACTTTTTTTTATTTTTTATTTTTTTGGTTTTTCGAGACAGGGTTTCTCTGTGGTTTTGGAGCCTGTCCTGGAACTAGCTCTGTAGACCAGGCTGGTCTCGAACTCACATAGATCTGCCTGCCTCTGCCTCCCGAGTGCTGGGATTAAAGGCGTGCGCCACCATCGCCCGGCTTGTGCTGCACTTCTTATTAGCAAAACACTAAACCCTATACTGGTGATATTTTTATAACATTTTAATAATATCCAAGTGATCAAAGAAATTACACATTTTTAAAAAGGGGCCAAAATAAAAGATTAAAATGGACTATAATCTACCTCTTAGTCTCTGGAGTTTATCATTTTCTATATCTGATTTCAAATGTGTGTGAATTTTATTAAAAGTGAAAAATTACAAAGCTGGTCTCTTGGTATTACTGTGATTGGAGCTATTCTACCTAGTTATTTTCCTAGAATGTTTTTGTTGCTGCTGCTTTGATTGCTTTAAAGTCATTTGTAACTAAGATCTGTTGTCCTGTGTGCTGTTATCTAGGTGTACTAAATATGAAAATGGGCAGTTAGAGGGAGCTGAAGAAATGGCTCAGTGGTTAAAAGAATGTTTTTCAGTTTCAAAGGACAGAGGTTCGGTTCCCAGTACTTATGTCAAGTGGCTCACAAGTACTGTCTGTCTCTGGCTCCAGGGAGCTCTGATATCTCCAGTCTTCACATGTGCATATTCACACATAAACACGTAATTTTAAAATCTTTTCAAGATAAAGTGGCAAAGAAAATTCAAAGTTTATGTTTTTTTGTCGTACAAAACCATATCAAAGGACATTTGGCAAATGTAATACCTGTAAGAAATACTGAAGACTGCTGTTATTTAGAGATGATGGCCTTTCAATTCTGGAATCAAGAAATGGGACTTTTCAAAAGATTACTAAACCATGTGAATTAGCCCCTCTTTAATGGGATTAGTGTTCTGATGAAATACTGAACACTTGCTGTTTTTCTGCTATCTTTCAGACACCACAAGATGATGCCTCTGAAAGATATGATCATTTTCACCAGGCAGCAAAGTATCAGCCCTTAAAAGTTGCATTAATATGATGGTTCACCTTTATTCATTTCACTGGATTTAGAACCACCTAGAGGACACACCTCTGGTCATGACTGAGGGTATTTCCAGAGGTTTAGCTGTGGGGCAAAGAATCACCCTAAATGTGAGTGGGATCGTCCCATGGACTATAGTTTGGACTGGAAAAGGAATAGCAAACTGATTACAAGAATATTTCAGTTTCCAGATCCACTAAGAGCAAGAAACCTTACACTCATACGACCACAGTCTGCTACCACTATGCCTTCCTTGCCTAGTGTGATCTATGCCTGTGTTACATATAACTATAGTGACTAATAATTATTTTATAATTGGGGTGGTGAGACAGGGTTTCTCTGTGTAGTACTAACTGTCTGGAACTTACTCTATACACCAGGCTGGCCTCAAGCTCAGAGATCTGCTCGCATCTGCCTCCTGAGTGCTGGTGTTGAAGGTGTATTCTGCCACTACCCAACCTATATAACTTTAAGTTAAAAATTCCTCATTTTCAGTAGTCACAGATCCTCCACTGAGAAAAGTTGTGTTGCATATTGCTGGTCCTGACCCAGAAATTCTGTGGTGTGAAGATTCTCTGCAAAATACTCTAAGGACATCAGGAGACAACCGCTCAGATCAGACAGCACATCACAGTGCTGGGAATGAACAGCACCTGGAAATAAAATTGGGAATCAACTGAAATGATCCACATCTCTTCCTGCTGATGGCTGGGTTTGGAAGGAACTCAGAACCACATAAAGGCTAAGGATTAGGGAGGGTTTACAACTTCCTGGGTAAGTTGAGTGATGGAGGAAGGACATTGGTTAATTATAATAAAGAAACTGCCTTGGCCCATTTTATTGGTTAGAACATAGGTGGGTGGAGTAAACAGAGAGAATGCTGGGAGAAAGAAGCTGAGTCAAGGAGTCACCATTATTCTCCCACTCCAGACAGACACAGGTTAAGATCCTCCCTGATAGAGAGTTAGCCAAGAAGAGGCTAGATATAACAGGCCAGGCAGTGTTTAAAAGAATACAGTTTCCGTGTAATTATTTCGGGGCATAAGCTAGCCATGCGGGGTGCCGGGGACCCAGCCCCACCGCTCTTATTACTACATAGTGGTGCCCAGATGTGATGGGCTAAATCCACTTAAAAACCTGAGAGAGCTTCATTTTAAACAGAGAAACAACAGTTTAACGCAGAGTTTTGCTCTTTGTTGGTGGCGTGCCATAGAGAGATTTCCTGATTCAGCAACAGCAGCAGAAAAAAAGCTGCTTCATTTTAAAGCACAGCTTCTTGGGGCTATGCTGCCAGCGTGAACTCTGGCTTTAAAGCATTTCAATGGCTTTTATGGGACTGGATATTTGTGTTCCCACTTGGGATAGGAAGGAGAATGCTCTGAGACTGTGCTGATGGCTCAGTGCTCCCCGCCTGCACCTGGGCAGATGGCCAAATCAGGCTTAGGCAGGCGGAAGAGCATGGAGGATTAGAACTGTGCAGTGCTATACGTGTCAGATTTGGATGTAACTTGGATGAAAAGAATTTCTATGCTGCACGCTCAGTCTCAGAATTAAAGTGCTGAATGCCGCTCCTACCTGGCGGCCCCAGGGCTAGCACAAAATGGTACGTCCTCCATTTTGAAATTTTCCTGGCTCAGCAGCAGGAAAAAACTGGCTGTTTTAAAATGCCGGCTCTGGGCTGTGCCACCATTGCGATCTCTGTCTGGCTCCTGCAGGAGACAGAGTCTTTGAATGGAGCATTTGGATTAAAGTGCTACGATTTGTTTGATGGCAACTAGACTGCTGTGTGCCTAAAAGGGGGACATTGTGTGCCACAGCTCAGAGGCACAAGCAGCTCCGCCATGCTAATGGTACAATGTGCAAGGATCAGAGACACAAGCGGCTCTGCCATGTTGGACTGGGCGGGGCCAGCATGCAGTACCTGTTTTTGACCTAGGAATGTCACAGCTTAGATTCTTAAGCGCTTAATGATTTAAAGGAGCAAAACAAAGTGCTCCTGGGGAATAAAAAAAAATTACAATAAAACAGATTCAGACACTGTTGGATGAATGTACGTAGGCTTGAGAGAGAGAAGAAAAAAGAATATAAAGAATAAAGTTAATGTTAAAAAAAAGGGTAAAGTCTTTAAAGAGACAGAGTACAGATAGTTATAGATTAAAAGAAATTTTAAAAAAGCCACGTAAAAATGGAAAATTCACAGAAAATCTGGATTCTTTGTATTATTATGTTTTCTTTAAAATTTTTGACTTTGAAGGAGCTAAGTACAGAGAGACATTTCATTACATGGGCTGCCAAGCTAAACCAGAATGGATATAAGGGTATTACGATTTCAGAATTTGGGTTTAAGGACATGATGCTTTGGAAAGGGCCTTTTGTTTTCACAGAGGATGTGACCCTGTGGATTGCATCTATTCCGATATGGTATGATAGACCATGCCCTCCTGAAAGGTTGCTATGAACACCCTCAAAAAATTGCTTCGCTCAACTGCCAACTGAGATGACCCTGGCACACAGGTTATACCATGAAAGACCTAATTAAGGAC